GTTGCCTTTAGGTGTTAGGCTGAGTTGATCCTGGGATAGGTTGGGCCAGGAGAGATTGGAGCCTTCGCTTCTCAGGAATGGAAAGGATGTGGCCCCTGAATTGACACATATCTTATGCTTCAGTATGAAGCAGCTCTTAACTACACCTGGACATGTAGTTATTAACTGTGCTTTTAAATGCCTGATTAAAATCTTTAATTTTATAATTTTCTCTGTATTTACAAATGCATATATTCCATTATTTTTTAATTAGTATATTAATGTACTTATTGATGACACATTTCATATTTTGCTTTTTATTTTTTTAATTCAATGTTTTATCATCCATTAAAATATCAATAAATGAATTGTAAACACATTTATTAGTGAGTGTTTTAATGTAGAATGAGTTAACAATTAATGAACTGCTTTATTACTATTTCAGTGGCTCTTGTGGTCCTCCACATAAAATGCATTAGCCCAAAAAAATTCATAGGGCGATAATATTAAGTGTTTACAGCTTGTTCTGCTGCTGTAGAGAAAAAAAAAATCTATTAATGTAGCCTCAAGAAATAAAGCTCCACATTATTGTAATGTGTTGTAATCATAATATAAACTACATTATATTAAATGGTTTGTATTTATATAGCTCTTTTTATAAACCCGATGAGCACTCAAGTGCTTTACAGTACAGTTTGACATTCATACATACAGTGCATCTATTTTTTTCTATGAGGGGAAATTTGGGGTTCAGCCTCTTGCCCAAGGACACTTCGGCATGCAGACAAGGAAGACTGGAATTGAACTGCTGACCTTCTGGTTGGAGGACGCCTGCTCTACCACTTCAGTCAAAGCCGCCCATATTGGAGCAGTAAACAGGGCTCATCAGAATTAGGATTATTGCATCAAATTGTCAATATGACATTTACACAACAAGCCTTAAAAGGAACTAGCAACACTTTAAATGTAAAGAGAAATAGGGTTGTTTCTATCTGCATCTAAATTGCCTGCAATCACTATGCATGTGTTTTCAGAATCATTATCATCATTAGCATGTCGGTGAGAGGCATTCACTGTACCTGCTCGCCACAGTTTTAGTTTTTTACAAAGCAGAATGCATTACAAGGCCGGACTAGCAGCTGTGATACACTGCAACCTGCGAAACCTCACAGCAAAGCTCCTTCACTGCTGTTACCGGTTGGATCCTCACCTCGTCTGTAAGAAGGAGGGATTACATGCTGTCCATCAGATAACAGGCTAAAATATCAATGGACAACACTGCTTCTATGCAGAACAGGGGATGCATATAGACACTGGGGAAAAGACTGATGAGATTACAGTTAAGCCAGATCCTGTGTCCTTTGGTTGGGTAAATTGTGCACATCCTCCGACATTAACACGACGCATATGCAAGATGAAATACCCACATAAAGGTCGGGGCAGTAGCGAGTCCTCGACAGGGTCCTGTGGGCACGTCATCAGCGACAGAAATGGTGGTTGGCCACATCTGGAATTATTATTATTAACATTAACTCGTCATTTATGAATCTAAAAAAGGCAAAAAGATTAATTCAAGTTAAAGATTATAGAGCAGAGCGTTCTTCAATCTTTACTGTGAGTTCTGTGGTGTACACTCACTCTGCTGGAATCCTCCAGTAACAGTAAGTATAAGAACAGTCACGACGCAGCTAATGTGTATGTGTAGCTAAAGCAAGTATATTAGTTTTAGTGATTAATCCTTAAGATTTTCATTTGAAGTTTATTTCTTTTTTAAAGCTACACTAATTATTATTGTTCATTATATATATCATCAGTGATCATGTATAATGTGAAAGGGGTAGCTCACAGTGCCGAATCCACTGAAAACATTTCTCCAGTGTTTTAAGCATCTTTAAGCTTATTGTTTTAGGATCAGCTGTTGCAATGTGTTGGTTCAGTCTCACTGCTCATCACCACTGTCACTTCCAGTCACAGCGGGAGGCTGTTTGCGGCACTAAAAGCACTGATTCACTCGCTGTACAACACCTCGCCACCATCAGACACCAAAGTGTGCGATGTGCTGGTGAACACAGTGGAGCATTTAGCTGCTAAGGAGCCAGATATGTTCCTAATGAGACTCCACCACACGACCCAAGTGAATGAAAGTAGAACAATGAGATGAGACCGAAGGCTAATGTTGCTCTGTGTCAGTCAGACGGATAATCCTAACTGTCCACTGTTTGTTAATGCATTTGCAGCAACAACTTTATAAAGTCAGACTGCAAATGTGTGTGTTCACAGCCGGTTCTGAGTCATCTCAAGAGGCCATGTGAAAATTTCCCCCAGACAGATTAAGTGGATATTCTGAGGCTTCATAAAGTATTCAGACCACTTCACTTTACTGTGTGGTAGATTTCATTTGAAATAAATATTATTATATTTTTATAATTCTTTAAAAATAAAAAAAAACCTGAAATACAAAAAGATTGAGACACCCTTTTTGAAGCAATCATAGCTTCCAGTCTTGTTGGGTAAGTCTCTAAAGCTTTATCTCCTTCCTCCTGGCAGAACCTCTCAAACTTCATTAGACTAAATGGGAAACGTCCGAACTCATCGTCAGGTCTATCAGATGTTCTACGAGACTTCTGTGTTGGTTAGTGTTAGGGCTTCGGTCGTAGAGAAGTGGGCGTGGACTGGGTCGAAAAAAAAAAAGATATATCCTTCAAGGACGGACAGAAACTTCTCCTGAAGCCACCCCAGCCATGTCTGGGCTGTACGCTTCCTGTCAGTATTGCACTGAAAGGTGAACTGCCCCCCCCCGTGTCAGGTCACAAGCACTGTGGAGCAGGTTTACTGAGTTGGGTGCCAGTATCATTCCCAATTCAATGCTTTACGAGGGAATATAAACATGTGTGGACCATTTTTGTCATTTAAAAACACATCAAATTACTCAGTGCATTAGTGTTAAATGAGAGGCTTCTCCTAAATGAATTATAGTCTTAGGATTCCAACACAGAAACAGCACATCAAGAGAGGCTCAGAATTTGACCAAACACTACTCAATAACCAAATACACTTATTATAATGCTACAAAAACTTTTTGCCCAGCAAAAATAAATGTGTTGAGGTCTGACACCTACCCTCTTCTTCAATATTAATGGATTTATGTACAATGCTACTCAGTAGAGTACATACCTCCACCAAGGCCCCTCCAAATTTCGGGGAAATCTATTATAGTTATTTCTGTTATTTTGCTTGTAAACAAACAAAGATAGAAACCAACAAACAAATAGGGGTGAAAAGACCAGCTCCTTGGCGGAGGTAATAATCAACAAGATTACTGGGGAGATTAATATAGATCCTTGTGCTGCTGCAAGTCTCCTTGCCTGCAGTCACTTATAAAACAATAATAATGGATGAATGAAATCAATCCCTTTTCGTGATCATCACTCACAAATTCGAGTTTAACTGTGAAGATTAATTGCTTTTCATTCCTTTGAACCTTTTATTAGAAAAACCAAATGAGTCCCTTTGCTCTGGGAACTGATTTTGGCATCGTTCACTTTTCTCACATTGTATAAATGAAACGAACGATTGGTTAAACAAAGAAAAAATGATAAAGAGACAATTAGTTAGTTGTGTTCTTTACTGTGAAAATGTGATTCTACTACTACTAACTGTATCAGAGATGTGATGTACTTTACAAATCGGTAAATGTGCTTTGTAACATCTAAGGATGTTTAATCTTAATTATATATATTATATGAAGAACTGAAGTAAGTCACTGACTCTGCAATTTGATTTTGGCTTTCAGAATTGGTTTCCCTGTTATTCCAACTGTTCCAACAAGTCAGGTATTTCTATAAGTCACGGAGAGTCTGGGTCTGTAGACACCCTGCCTATCAACACAACTGTTTACAATGGAGGTGGTATCCCCCCACCATCTCCATTCATATGAGACCAGACTCCATAACTGTTGGGGGCTTCCCCCTCGGCAGTCTGGTCGCTGTCATTGTGAATGGCTGCATGAGATGATCTGAATCAACACGGTTCATCCTCACCTGCAGGGGGGGGGGGGGGTGCCCAGAATCTCTGGAAGATCCAGCTGTTGCCTCACAACAGGCAACAGCTGGATCACCGTGTAAAACAACTATTTTCCTGCTGAATGCATTCGATCCATTTCAAGACGTGGCTCAGTAAACACAGCACAACAACGATCTCCACACACAGACGTAACGTCACCAGCTTTTTCAGTCCGAATAAACCTAACGTTTACTGATCTGTGGCCCCGTCACACGTTATGAATGAGAAAGAACGTCAACGTCATGCAAAACTTCATTCAATTTTTTTATAATTTTATATATTCATCTTTACTGGCGCACAACGGTCAGAGCGATTGCACATGTAGACACATATGCGTATTCTAGAGGAGTGGCGTTGTAATTCGGCAACAAATTAAAATAGCTCGGTTTAGATATGACTATGATATCTTTACTTTAATAAATGATTCGCACTGCTTGCTGCCGCCCTCCGCGGTGCATTTAATGTGGAAAAGATCGGAAGAAACTGCAGGCGAAGCAGGAATAAAGTTGGAAATTGCAAGAAATTAACAATGAATTCTGGGTTGATTGTACGCCGAATTATTGTATGGCGTTTGATAAGTCAAAATTTAATTTTTTTTATATTTGACATACTGTCCAATTTCGATTATTGCCAAAAGAATCGTGAAATGGTGTATTTAATAATGGCGCCTGGCTGAACGTCGCCTGTGAAAACATCACGCACCAGCCTACCTGAGGTGCCAGCACCAGACCGAAGCTTTTATGCTGCGCGATGGTCAGAAATGATCGAATGCACAACGACTCACAGAAGTCATGCACAATCCCCTCATGTGGGAAAACCACACAGCGCAGATCTCTACAAGAATTCCTCCATGCAAACAACAAGAATGACGGCAGAGACAGTGGCAGAGGACAGACACACACACACAGACACACACACACACACACACAGGAGCAACAGGCGACACACGGTGAGCTCACCAGCGGTCAGAGTGAAGAGCTGCAGCCGCACGGCTCATGTCACATGGAGGAGAGGACCCAGCCTGTCTGCTCCGGGATCCGCTCACTGACGCACAAGTCGCAGTGTGAACTCGCATCTTTGGCTCCCGGTGTAAAACACCGCACAGGAGTGGATGGTGAGGGAGGGAGGGAGGGAGGGGTTCGTGGAGTCAAGTCACCGGGAAACCGAGGCAGCACCATTTCCCTTCCGAGCTTTCAGAGTAAAATGGAGGCTAGTGCCACAGCAACAGATGAGTAATTGTAAAGATGGACACATAGGAGCAAATGCCCCACGTAGGTAAATGGTTTTGGTCCTACATCCTACGCATCAGACATCCCACGTGGAATGATGGCACTTAGGTGGTGTGCTCCTGTTAGTAAAGCTGGGGATGACATTGTAGGATTTCAGATTTGAAGGTCTTGAACTTCTATGTAAAGTGCCTTGAGAGAAGGTAGCCTGCATACAAATAAAGTTGAATTGAATATAAGCCAGTTTTTCAGCCCGGATGTCTGACTCTTTTCAGTTTCTCGCTGCGCAGTGTTGAGGATCAACGATTTATTGCTCCCGACCGCCAGACATGTCAGAAACAACATTTCATAGGACTCAAATTCCTTTTCCCTGACAACACCTCGCCACCATCAGACACCAAAGTGTACGATGTGCTGGTGAACACAGTGGAGCATTTAGCTGCTAAGGAGCCAGATAGGTTCCTAATGAGACTCCACCACACGACCCAAGTGAATGAAAGTAGAACATTGAGATGAGACCGAAGGCTAATGTTGCTCTGTGTCAGTCAGATGGATAAACATAACTGTCCACTGTTTGTTAATGCATTTGCAGCAACAACTTTATAAAGTCAATCTGCAAATGTTGTGTTCACAGCCGGTTCTGAGTCACCTCAAGAGGCCATGTGAAAAATCAATTACTGCATCTTTAAAAAGACATTAACATATTTCCCCCAGACAGGTTAAGTGGATATTCTGTGGCCTCATGAAGAATTCAGACCACTTCACTTTACTGTGTGGTAGATTTCATTTTATATAAATATTATCCTTTTTTGAACAGGAATTTGCAATTCACATTCCATCCATTTAATTCTGTTAAAATTCTGTGCATGTTTTCCTGACTGCGCCTCCTTAACTACGTAGGATAAATCTAGGGGTAAAAAATAGTATGAAACTACGTCTACTCATCCCAATGCTAACTCACCCTCTACATCTCGATCTCTCCCTGTTTCCACATGCATCAGGCACATCCTGTCACCAGTTTGTCACGCTCTGGACATTTTATTGACCAGTACCTGCAAACCCTTCCACCGCAGTGGAGCATCAATAAGAGTCAGTGAACAGTGCATGAGCTATTCTCTAGCTCCCAACCATTATTATTTCATACACAAATGATTATATCCATCCATCCTTATATAAGTGCATGCATACATACTACAAACAAACATGCAGACAACCATACAAGAAAGGAAATAGAGATCATTCATTTCAGCAGCTGCTTAAAGTTAACAACATGTTCAGTAGATCTGATGCATTCCAAAGTTTGGGAGCTAGAACTGCAAACGTCCGGTCACCTCTTGATTTAAAATGAGTACGGGGCACAGACAAAAGGCCTTGATCAGATGATCGGAGTGGCAGACCCCCAGAGTAGGGGCTCAGCAGTTCTGTCATACGTGCAGGGGCCAGGCCATGCACATTAATGTTTCCCCTCCTCCTTTTTTTCCTTTGAAATGGTCAAAACCATCTGGATGGATATGGTGAGGCCCTGAAAACCAACTGGACACACTGAGGAAAAAAACTCGACTGGTTCAAGGTAAGGACTTCATATGTGCATTGTTCAGCTCGCGCCCACACGCAGAACCAGATTAAACCTTTTATGAGGCCTGAGAGAAAATATTAAATGCTGACGCCGTGTTGGACCCATCTCATTGTGTGTAATACAGTTCTCATGATATCAATATGCATCCAGAAACCCAGCAGTGCTCTTATGCTAACTAAAAGGCCTGAGGTTTTCTCTGTCTTTATTATTTTAATTAAAAAAACAACTTCATATTGCTGGGAATAACAGAGGCATTACATATCTGATTGATTTGTGTGACATTTAGTGTAAAGTAGCACAATCAATGCAATCAAATAAAAGCCTCCTTTTTGGCAACATGCTGTGAATAAATAAAAGCCTATTCAAAGACAGTAGAGATACATATTGCAATGCTTCCTGTTGTTACTGTTTTTTGTAGGTTCGCTTGGGAAAAACGGAACCAGAACAGATAAACCAAACATTGGCTCTATAGTGAGGACCCGAAGGCCACCAGAGATATGGCACAATTGGACATGCAGGTAGGGTGTGTAATCGTCAACCCCACCTACAACTCCTGGTCCTTTCATTTCTGTTTTTACTTATTTCTTTCCATTTATTTACTGTTGGTATTTGTATTTTCCGCAATAATGAGAGCGGAGTTAAAGACAGGACACTAACACAAAGGGGGGAATGGGATGCACATCAGTGCAGTAGAACAGTAGTTAAAGCAAATCATTGGATCCAAAGTTTGTTTTTAAAAGTTGAATGGCCTCGAAAAGAGCAGGAGGACAGCTCTCATTGTCTTGCTCTCCTTCTCTCACCCACACAAATGCACAGACTGTGTGCCATAGTCAGACTGACCTTCAGCAACACTTTGAGAAATCCTACTCGCACAGGTCATTAAAACATCCATTAGGTTTTTACCGTCTTTGACAGGCACGCAGGATTTAGCATAAAATTGGTCCAAAACATAATGATCTGGAGATACCCCAAGTTTGTTGAAATCTATCCATGCTTGTTTAGCTATTTTGCTCGCAAACACAAACACACCGTAAATGACAGTTTCACACTGAAATAAAATAACGTCAACATCCTTGAATTTTTTTAAAAGGGCTTCTGCGACAGCTCCCGTTACCTCTGTGTGGGTGGGTTGAATAATAGACAGGCATTTTTAAGAGGAAGAAAGACTGTCGCAGAGAAGAGAGAAGCACTGACACACTGCAAACTGTAAGTGATGAAACTAGAGGAAATGTAGGACACGGTGAGAAGAGGAGCCGCTTGTTACATTCAGTTCATTAGTTCATTGTTGAGTTAACAAGCTCCTGAGCTGTGGCTCTGTCATCCCTCTAGAACACGATTCTTTCTCCTCCATTAGTAATCGCTGGTCTGTCTATTCCCTGAATGACGACCTGTGTGAGGATCAATTATTCCACTGGTTGGTTAAGCTGTGGCATTTAAGATACAAATTCCTGAGTGTAATTAACGGTGAATTCAGTGAATTCATGTTGCCTTAACATCCCTCCATCTGTCCCTGCTCTGTCTACACCTCCTCTTCTTCTTTCCCCAAAGAGAAAATAGTTCCAATCCAGTGCACTGGCCATTGATCTATGACACATCTTGGAATTAATTGGTAGATAAATATATGGTCTAAAAAAACATATTTTTCCAAATATTTCTGCTAGTAATAAAAAGACACTCTTACACTGATACTGATCATGATCAGTGATGTTATGAAGAAGCTAAAGAAGAATCCTTATATTTTGTCATATAGTTTAGTAATGCATTAACTTTTATAACCAATAACATTCGACACACACTGTTCAGTTTATTTAGATTAACCGATCATTCATCATCACTCTACTTCTCCTCCTGTCCTTACCTAGTGTCCTACTTTCTCCCTCTACCACTTCTATAACAATAATAACAATGATAATAATGATAATACATTATTGCAACATTTGAAAGTTAGCATTTGCCTGATTGGGGTACACAGGGTAAGCACCGCCACTCTAATACTTTTCATTGTTGAATGTTTACTGCAAAGGTTATTTCAAATCAATTGATTATAGGTGTGTGTGGTTGTGTGTGTGTGTGCGTATGTGCGTATGTGCACACATTGCCATTAGAGATCCTACCTATTACCTGCACTCTGCCTTGGATTTCTTGTTCGTATCATACTGCTGTATGTTTAAGTGCTCATCATTTCTGGTGAGTTTGTTTCAATTAACAGAGTGAAATGTCATGATTGACTGCTGAGACTGACAAGAACATGTATCGACAGGACCTGGCTTCTAATACTAAGGTGGCAGCGTTCACATCTGGGATATTTTAGCCTAGTATCTGGATAGTAGGAGGATGAGGGGATGGGTCGTCCATCTTTATATATGGCCTATTGTTTTTCATTCACATACATCTTAGCATTACCATTAAAAAATATTATATTTTAATGTAACTGATGCAGTGCCTGTTCTACACCCTCCTGTTTAGAATGGACTGTTCACTTGACGTGTTAATGCTCTGGAACTACTTCAGAATTATTACTTGTCATTAGTGAGTCCTCCTTAAACAATCCTACAATATAATGTGACTTTTTTTTATGTTTGTGTGTTGGACATTGTGTGCAGAGGTTTTTTTTTATAAACAATCTATGTTGCAGAGTGAAGTTAGAAAACTTTGTGTTCATCCGACCTGGTTTATCTGCAATGAAGATTTTACAGTAAATGTTTCTCATAAAATGAATCCTTATTTGCCCGTGTATTCTACTTTCTGTGTTTGTCAGATGTCCCTTCTTTGTGATTGTCTGTCCCGCCCCAATGTGTTTCATCTCCATCCAATCATCCCTGCCTCCATTTCTGTATTTAGTCTCTGTGAGCTTTGTCTGTTCGTTTGTTTGTCTTCCCGGCCTTGTTTTGTGCTCTTCTATTTTTCCTGTGGTTTTTCTTTTGTGTTCCTGCCTAGAATACCACAGTCTCAGCCAGTACATTTAAATTGAATCTTCTTCACTGCACCTGCCCGTCTTTGTGAACCATCCTACAACAATTGCCCGCTTTTAATTTGAAGGCCGACTCACCTGTTTTCCTGGCACTGTTGTGGCCTAATACAGTAGCTTGATGCAGCTATGTTGTTCCCCATGTAGACAGCAGATGAAATGAATGAGAACTCATGATTTGACACACAGATAATAGTGTGTGTGTCTGTGTGTATGTTTATGTGCGTGTGTATATGTGTGTGTGTGCGCGCTGATTAATTTCCAAAGTACTCATTCATCATTACTTTGATGAGAATTGTTTTATTATATTATCAATATTTGAGGCACATGTAGAATCAGTATAGCTACACTGTAT